TATATATATACTTGCTGAGATGAGGCTTTTCAAGACTTTTCCCCACGGACAATCTTTCCCTGACGCTGTCCACGCTTACGTTCAGCATGTGTGTTTTTTGGCCGTCACTCCCACCCAAGTTTTGTAAATCATGAACACTTTCTCGCTGAGCGAGTTGTGCGTTTTGGAAGCCCTCTGCCTGTCGAAGCTCTTGCGCGAAAACATTCTCTAGACCTTGGACTAATATATTTTGGGGATTATTTGTCAGGGGTTGGGCACTGTCGGAACACTTGGCGGTTGGGCACTGAAGGGACACTTGGCAGTTGGGAACTGTACGCACACTTTGCGGTTGGGCACTGCCGGGCGGGCGAAATCCAACAAGCCCTTTGTGATGGTGGGGAAAGACAAAAATCCTAAAACTTAACCCTAAATCCTAAACCCCTATATAATGGCTATATAATCCTAGAAGATAGTAGTTTCCACTATCTTTTCTATTATCCAGGGGTCCTAAGTGCCATGGTGGTACATCCGCTAAACCCTAAGCCCCAAACCCCAAAGCGTAAACCCTAAACCCTAAACCTAAACCCTAACGGCTCAGGTGCAATCTTGCATCTCCACCTGCCTGGTGTGGTGACAGCTGGTGCTATGTGGATATGGGAAGCTGTGGAGTGACCCACGAAGCCAGCACTACCTACGAAGGATATTGGGTTTAGGGTTTTAGGGTTTAGGGTTTAGGGTTTAGGATTTAGGGTTTAGGATTTAGGGTTTAGGATTTAGGGTTTAGGATTAGGGGATTGGGGGTGAGGGTTTAGGGTTTGAGCAACGTTCGTTTTCTCTTGCCAGAAGGGTTCAAGCACCTCATGCGTGGGTACTTGGGGTTTTTGGTACTAGTAAGTGTGGTATAGGAAATTATTATTTGCGCAGTAGGCTTCCCCTGAACCCGCAGGATTGGGGTGGTCTTACACCACTTGTGGTTTTCGAGATCTTTTCTCTCGTTCGAACATTACGGAGAGCCTACGGGGCCAGACGCTCCGAGTGCAGTTTCTCGGAAACACAGGTGGCCGGGACAGTTTTGGCAGTACAGGTCCTTCTTTGGGTGCGCATATATGACTGTTTTGATTGGTGGACATTTTCTTTAGACCTGCCCGTGTGTGATAGGTTAACCAACAGCCATGTCATCAAACACCAAACTGCTTATGAATGCATTCTATACCAGTGGTTTTCACCAAGTGCCAGACGGACGTCCGCGCCACTTCTCAAAACTCGGGTCGTGCGATACCCTGAACCCTAAACCACATCTCTGAGAGTTGCATTGCCCATACGACCCCAGTATGGGCCTATGCTGGGATAGCAGGGAACTCAAGAGATGGGTGTTGTCTTCTGCAGGTGCCCGACAGATAATGAAAGGCAATAGTCAGTCCTCAATACTAGCTGGTAGTCATGGAAATAGCTATGCTCATCGCCCGCAACCCTCCAACCCTCAACCCTAAACCCAGGTGGGTGGAAGGGCAACTACTGCACTGGCCAGAGCGGTCAGCCGTGTGTAGATCAGAGGGGCCATGGGCCCGTACAACGTTTCTGAGCTTAGAGTTTAGGGTAAGGAATTTTTAGCCTACTAGAATAAGGAAGCCCTGTTTTTTCTACTATAAACCCATAATATGCCCCTAAACCCTAAACCGCTAAGAACCCATAATAAGGTAACTTAAACGGTGTTCCTTAACAGCAACCGAGGTTTCTTCGACCTTGTTTCTGGCTCAGCAGGGATAAAGGCAAGCGGCTGAGAGAAAAGGTTGCGGCTTCAAGATTTCCAAGTCAGGGTTTGGGGTTTAGGGTTTAGGGCTTGTGGTTGATAATGTTTACTAGGTACCCCAGTAGTACCCCTTTACCTTTTCATTTTGGGGTCTACTTCGAAAAGCTGAACATTAGGAAAAAGTGTACCCTTACTATTAAGGGTTTACTGGGGAACCTAGTTTAGGGTTTGTGGTTTACAATGCTTAGGATTTATAGAAGGGTCCACGACTTTTCAGGCATCTTCTTGGGGAGGGTAGGCTTACTTGAATGTTCACGTTCCGACTGGTTCATTACCCATGGACATTGGAGTGATGTCAAACGATCAGCAGGTGGAGCAAGTTGCAGATGTGCCAGGCGCTGTCTACGCACAGCTGGAACGCATCTTATTGCTTGTTAGCAAGGATTGGAGGAATAGATCCCGCATGCAAGCCTTTGTATACCCCCGAATAGTACCATCGGTTCCATGTCGTGTCTATTCCCTGCAATCAAAGCTTAAGTTCCAGACCCAACCCCCAAACAGACCATGTTCTTGTCCACTTCCTCGTTTTCTTCTAACAAGCAGCAATAGCATAGTTCTTTCAATCTGTCTCAAGAAGATACAGATCGTTGAGAAGCCTTCCTTGAAAGGAGGATTATTAAGGGATAGAAGTATAACCCTAAACCCTAAACCCCTAAGCCCCTAAGCCCTAGGGTTTAGGGACCCTACACTGTAAGACCCTAAACCCTAGCCCAAGGCATGGGCCAAAGATCCAAGTTTGACCTCTGTATCTGGGCCACAGGCATGGGCTTCTTAGCGGCCGGGATGCCAATGAAGGTCAGGTTTAGGGTTTACGGGTTTAGGGTTTAGGACCATGGACTTCAGTGAGTTGTGCTTTGCACCCTTAGGGTTTGTACCCTCAGGGTTTGTACCCTTGAGTTTGAGTGCAAAACAAATGAATATGTATTTGGGTATTTGGGATCCAAAAACCAAGGGTACAGCAAACCTACGACCTCACCCGACCTCACCTCAAATGTACTACAGTCTAAATTCGAGCGGGTTATATAGGGGACCACTATAGGGGATATTAAGGCGGATGCTAGGAGTTTAGACTATACTTCAACTGGCGGCGTACACATAATTAAAATGATCCCAAATCGGCTTTGAAAGGCCAGCATTAAGGGATTTCCCGTTCTAAACCCTGAACTCCTAGAATCCCTTTAAGGACACCCCCCCCCCAAATCTTCGTAGAATCCCTACATATCCGTGGCTTCCCTTGGGTACCCTAGACCCTAAATAGCAAGCCTAGGGGCCTACCATGGACGATGTATGGTAGGGAGGGCTTAGGGTTTATGTTTTAGGGCCTAGCGTGCCACAAGTATGGCCCCTTTAGGGGGTCCCCATCATACTGTGGCCCCAGTAGACCCCGAAAAGGGACCATGATTTTCGCAGATATGTGTGCATATATCCTATACCCAGGAAATACAGTATACAGAGCAGTATACCGGGGATCTTACGTGGTGCACAAAAGTTGCTCCGTGCACCCTAAGGTTGGGGGTTCTAGGGATTTAGGGTTCAGGGTTTAGTGTTCAGTGTTTAGGGGATTTAGCCTGTAAAGTTTGGAGTTGGGCTTCGGCCATGCGGAAACCCCGTTGTGTTTTGCGTAAGCTGTGCATCTCACAATAGTCATAGTCATAGTCGCAGTAGTACGGTGGATACGAAAAATCACGCATGATTGCAAGTACCCGAAACCTTGCGAATTATGGTACCATAGTATAATAAGGTCATACAGGGTTTAGTATCAACAGTAATAACAGTAGTATGGGTCGTCGTATTCGTCGTCGTCGTCGTCGTCGTCGTCGTCGTCGTCGTCGTCGTCGTCGTCGTCGTCGTCGTCGTCGTAGTAGTAGTAGTAGTAGTAGTAGTAGTAGTAGTTATAGTTATAGTTATAGTTATATCCAAGTCCTTTGACCACCACCCAAATGATGTAGTAGTTCCATTTTCTTTTCCATTGCCAAAGGCGCAAACCCCGTGCGTACCTTTAACTCATTTAAGGGGACCTTGAATCTATTCCAGAAACCCTAAATACCTAAACTCTAAATCCCCGTACCCTAGATCCATAAACTTCCCAGATCCTTTCAACCTAAATCCCTAAACCCTTAACCCTAGATCCCTAGACCCTAAACTCGAAATTGAGGATGTCTGCGTCGCGTCACTGGTTGTTCTTCCCCGGAGGGCGGATGCCTCGCCCTTTGTACACCTCTGGTCTGAGCCTACCATCCTCGTAGGCCCACTTGTGCCTGGTGATGTGTTTAAGGTTTAGGGTTTAGGCTGTTGAGTTTTACCGTAGGGTTTTAGGTTTAAGGTTTAGGGTTTCAGGCTTACCGTTTAAGGTTTCAGGGTTTAGAGTTTAGTGTTTGGGGTTTAGGGTTTAGGCTGTTGAGGCTCAGGGTTTGAGGTTTGAGGGTTTAAGGTTTCAAGGTTGGGGGTTTAGGGTGTAGGATTGAACACATTTCTTAGAGTTAGAGTATAATGTTTAGGAATGTTTAGGATCGAGGGATGTGAAGTAGGGTTCTTGTGATTGTTTTTTCGCGTGCGTATGTTCGAACCCTAAACCCTAAACTCTAAACCCTAAATACTGGGGTTTATGGGGCTCAGGGTTGTCTTGGATTTCCTCTTTTTTTTTTTAGTAAGAACCCAATGAGCAACTGAAATCGATGTCAGCTATAGTCCACATTCCTTAAAGGGGGCTATATAGGGGATTATATAGGGGAGTTTTATAGGCGCTCCTAAGGAGGATACTCGGAATGTAGACTATAGCTCATTTGTTTTCTACAATCACCCAATGAGTAGCTGAAATCATTTTTGTTGCGAGGGTTCCAGAGCAGATCGAGGTACAGCAGGCGGAAGATACTACCTTCGCTGAGACTTGCTGGTGGTTAGTCTTACTGGTTATAACTGGGGGATAAGGGAAAATGATCCCTATAGAATATCTTCCCGTATCCGTACCAGACCCCAGTAAGTAGCAGGGAATGGGTGAATGGAAAAGAAAAGATCACGGAGGGTTCAGGGCTTAAGCCTTGTGGCTGTGATTCGTGCACAGAGGGATGGATCCCATAGTCGGTCATTCGCCCGTACAGAATTCTTACCAGTAGTCCCATAGTCCATCTAGTAAAAAGCCACCAACCCTACACCCTAAACTCTAACCAGCCCCTAAACCCTGGGCCTTAAACCATAAACGCGCAGTAAGGAGATGTTAGGTGCGGCATTTCGGCCGTTCAGCCCGAATCTGTGGCTGACATTGCTGGCCGTTGTCACATCCAGCTCCCTCATCATCACCTATTTTGAAACCTCGCCTAATGGGCAGTTCAATGATCTTCATAGCAGGAGGGGGAGTTCTCAAAACCATCCCTTCTGTGATTTTTAGGGGGGTTCAACCTAATCCCACTGTAACCTCCACGTATCCGAATTGCCCCTGAGCACCCTAAACCCTAAATCCCTAAACCCCTAAACCCTAAACCCCTAAACCCTAAACCCCTAAACCCCTAAACCCTAAACCCTACCCCCCAGGAGGGAGAAAGCCACCGAAGCGGTCTATCGGGCTTTCTACAGCCTCTTCATGTGCGAGTCTCGCTTCGAACCTGTCACCTTGGGTGGCCGCATCGTAGGTCTAGGCAGGGTTTAGGGTTTAGGGTTTAAGGTTTAGGGTTTAATTCTCAACAGGGTTCAGGGTTCAGGGTTGAAAGTATATGGGAGGGGGGCGGGATTTAAAAAAATGGATGGTGGTTTTGGGATGAACTTCCCTAAACTTTAAACCAAGGGATCCGAATTTGGATAGCCCTTCATAGAGTTTATGATAGCGGCCTCTGCATGATCCCTGCTTGCCCCCCAGATTTACACGAGGGGTCCGTCATCAGTACTTTGGCCCACTAAAGGCTTCGATCACGATCTCACTGCTAGAGCTTAATAGGACTTCTTTAGAACTTGTTAGGCCTTATTGTAGTCCCCCTTAAGTAGATGGAATATGGGGCATATGGGAATCTTATTAAATTGTGATATACCCAAAGCCATAATCTATTTACTTAAGGGGAACTATAGCTTGGAGGGGTGCAGGCTGGCGCCAGCTGTGGTAGCACAATTGCACAAGGACTCTAAAGCTATTAGTAATTCTCCCGGTAAACTTCTATGGTAAAGCCTTTTTCCATTTCATGTTCCATTCTCTTGTCCATGTGATTCTCCGCTATCCCTACACCCCAAACCCTAGACCCTTATCCTTTATGGCTTCATCATCCCCCCCTCTACATAGGCCTAAGTCCTAAGCATTACACCCTAAACCCTAACCCCAGTAAACTATACATCCAGCAGGCCTGGCTTTCATGTGCATCCTCTTCGTGTGTGGCTACACTGCCACTTTGGCATCTTTCTTGGTTGAGGAACGTCGGCTTGCCACGAACGTGGAAAGCTTGGCGGATGCTATCAGGTTGAACTACAAGATCTGCGCCCACCCAAGCCACACCATTACTTTGCAGGTGAATGGCGTGTCTGACGCCAACATTGTATCTAGGTCTTACTTGCGAGCAGTTTTGCAGTTACTTAGGCTTTGAACAAAATCCGAACCTCTTAATCCTGAATCCCTGAACCGTGGTACACCATGGTACACCTTTTGGGGAAGAAGTTTTTGAGTGAACACAAAATGGAATTCGGATCACGTCCTGTGCTTCTTGAAATGCACGCAGAGTTGACATACAGCTGATTCTGCGCAACCTGAAAGGCCCCAAGCACCTTGTACCACGGGAATTGTGGCACTGTATGATAATATACTTAGTTCCAGGCTCCCGTGGGTACCATAGCTTTGAGACTTTGGAGAAGAGTTTCCCCAAACAAACAAGGCAGTTAGAACCCTAAACCCTAAGCCCTAAATATCCTTGCAGAGTGTTCTCGTCCCTGCAGGAACCCCTCTCCTGAGAACCCTTGTCTCAAACCAACTAACCCTAATCTCTAAGTCTCTCAAGGATATTCTGAATGGTTGAAAAACTCCTAAATTCTCAGTTCTACAGGTGTCCAAGGTCTAAAGTCTTAACCATGGACCAATATGGGCTCCTACCTGTTTCCTGGTCCTAACTATGGGCCTTTAATTGGGCTTCTAGGGTTTTATAGGGTACACAATAGGGTTGGTCTCATTTAATCAATAAGGACCCAGGATTAAGGGCCCATACTTAAACCCTACACCCTAAACCCCAACCCTAAACCCTTCACCCCTAAACCCTAAGGCCTAAACCCTAAACCCTGAGGGGCCCGTAGGTCCAACCTCGGACTAGGTGTCAATGAGTGTGCGCTCAGAAATCTTGCCTTCCGTTGGCACAGACGACAGCAGCGTTTGCCAGGTGCAAGTTTCCCCAAAATCAGGGTTACTATATGCCTGTAAAGGGGGGGATATAATGTGGCACCCTTTTTAATGGAGGGGTTCGGATTAATGAAAAGTGTTCGGGGAATTATTCAGAATCAGCTATTGTTTGAGGGGTTCGGAATAATGAAAAGTTTTTGGGACCGAAAATAAAAAATAACTGATTCTGAATT